TCTAGTTACAAGCAGGGGCCTGTAGATTGGAGTAATCATCACAGCAAGTACAGGAAACTGGCCAAGTTTCCCTTCCCACTCTCGCCCACAGCTTCGTTGCGTGTGGTAGGACGAGAGTGCCACACGCCCCTGCTAAAAAGAAAAAACAATTCAACGGAATCCCTGTGATTACAAGGGGTACACACACACCAAGGGCGAGTTTCCAGCATTTGAGAACGATAGGACCACATGTCGCGGATGCAGAAGAAGTAAATACAAACCAGGTAGTCACATCCACAGAGGGGGGAACTTGAGGAGGCATCAAAATCATCAGCCACCGCTTCTCCATGGGGCATCCGCCACGCGCAGCTATCAAAGCAAATCGTTTGGGCAGCTGGCATCTCAACGCACAGCAGTCACAGGCTTTCAAGAAGGTCGAAAGTCGTTACTAGACCACTAGACCACACAAATTTCAGGCACCGCACTGTGGCCCCTTACAGTAAGTGATACTCCAAACTCTCAAAAGTAAGGCCACCAAAACATACCAATAACATCCAATAACAACCTCAACACTTTGATATTATCTGTGCGCGGGCTTGCTGTACTGCAGCGGTTTGGATCAGACTGTACCAAGTAAGTGACTCTGCGGCACCAAAAGCAAGGTATTGCGGCTTTTCGCAACCGTGCGTGTTTGATCATGGGTGAGCAAAGCGCTTGCGTTTTGGGTACGTTTTCAAAACATGGAATTGTGCGAATTACGACAAAAAGCTGTTCAGAGGCCATTTTGCTGCTTGGACTGGCGGCGGTGCTATACCCTGAACTGAAGTGCACATGAACGTTAACATGCCCCATCCCACCCCACCCCACCCCCCGACCCCAACTACTTAGACATGTCGTATACAAGTACAAGAACCAACAAAAAAGTGAACGCCTTCACGGTTGTGAAAATCCGTGTCACCTCAAGGCCATAAAACCTTTCGAAAAGCAGCTTCGGTGTGGAGGGCCCTCGTAGTGTGTGTATTATATATGGTGTTTTCTTACAGGTATCACACAAGGACGAGCAGAAACTTGCTTGGAAGCAGGGTTTTCCTACTCTGACTCCGAAACGCTCTGTCAGCATTCTCAAACCTAAAGCTCCAAACAACCGTAGAATAAGAGCTCGGCCCGTGACTGAGACAGATTTCAGTCCTTGCCAGAGCCCTGTAGCAGCAAGGGGCACTTGGTGGGAAGGGTGACATTCTTCAGAACCTTTCGGCACTTCTTATGGTCCTGGCATCGGCGCGAGAATCTGAAGACCATGCCATGCTTCGGAAAAGCTGTTCATAACAGTTGGGAGAACAACCAGAATGAAGCAATTACACACCTGCGAGATCCAGCACTCTCGTGGATGGTTATAAATATAAGCAAGGTGCATTGAAACCTCTCCATGTTTGGGTACGTTTGAGCAACCCTTTATGAATCATCTATCAAAGCGACGTAGCTCTCGAGGTCCACGCGCTAACAACAAACGAAGGTGGTGATCGATGATCAACGCACTGCTTTTCCAAGATGTCGAGCCACTGGCGGTCTCAAGGGCCCTAAAGGCGTCGAACACATAAGATGGCCGCGGATGCGGCGAAAACACACATTGCAAATCCTGACATGTAAAATTCATGAATGAGCATTCGCACATTGACACGGGCCAAAGCTTTTTGCAATGGACTTACCGGTGTATGCTTGAAGAAATTCAAAAGAGGGCCATTCCACATTCAAACATTTCCAGAGAACTCGTTGGCGTGCAGCCAAGCTCCATGTTCTCGGGCTGGTAGCTTTCGAGGCTTTTCACCTGTCACACATGTGAGCGGTGTCTGGCTCATCATGTCACTTCTCTCACCCAGACGAACTTGTTCGCGAAAGTGGTCTCGCTCTTCCAATTCAGCCAGTCGTCGGCGCTGGCTCACAATCTTCTTGTTGACATCAGCCAAGAAACAAAGGTTGTCATTCCACATCCTATGCCACTGCTTGATTTGTTCGTCCGTGTAGTTCTGGGACGAGTCTTCTTTCAGCAGCTCGCAAAACTTTCGCCACCTCTGAGTCGTGAATGACTCAGCAGTCAAAGCAGCACGAGTGGCAGGATCAAGGTCTCCTGCCCGGTCCTCCAAAGCGGCCAAAAGCAGCCTCCAAGGTTGCTGAGCACGCTCATGCTGGACTTGCATCTTCAAAGCTCTCCATCTTTCCCACTCCGACTGGCTCATCTCTGAGTCGGTGTTGGCGCTCGTGCTCCCACTATCCAGACCAGGGCGGCGAGCGAGCGTGAGGGCATTCAAAATGGGGCCGTCATTCTCCAGGACCTCATGCTCTTCAGCGGCGACATGGCTTGAGGCGTCGTCATTCGCAGGAGCGGGGTTGTTCACAATCACACGCTCTCTGAGGAAAAACAAAACATGGTCCTTCACAAACAAATAGGCCCGGTACATGATGACCTCTACGCCAACACATGCCAAAAGAAACATGACACCAATGGTGAGCAGGAATTTCCAATCCACCACGACCTGACCGCCACCTCCAATCTCAGCAGCTTCAGCCATGGGCAGCTCTTCCAACATCAAGGTCGCAGCGGCGGCAAGTGCAGCTCGGTGCCAAGTGTCTTGTCGGCCTTGAGTGCGACTTTGGTGAGTGTAAAAATGGCGGCGGCTGCAAAACAAGTTCTTCTCATTGCTCTTGTCACATGGTTTTGTGCAGCCTTCCAAAAGACACAAACCAAGATCTTTCTTTTTGGCCTCATCGATCTCCTCATTCACAAAGGCGTGGTGGTCGTCGAGCTCCTGAGCAAACTGTTCGTGGCGCAACCGTTCAGCTTCACGCTCTTCAATTGAAACTTTCTTTGCAGCAACAATCTCAGGATTGTATTTCAGCTGGTGTGTGCCACGTGCAAGGATCTGAAGGAAGGCGTCCTTAGCTGTTGGCTTTGTCAAACCGTCGGCGATCATCTGAAGCGAATTCACCCAGAACCAACGGCCTTGTAGAGCTTCCATTCTTTGTCGAATGATAGCAACTTCGATTGCCGTCCTTCTTTCACTCAATCTGAAACCTGAAGCTTTTGCCTGCGCGGCATCGAACAATGCTTTGGCGTCCGTTGCCAGGGGTGAAGTTCCAAACTTTCTCAAAGCATCGTTGCCTTGGATGTCCATGTTCAAGTCAGTGATGAGGGACAGGAAGATCTTTGTCCATTCAAGTTCATCGACCGTCATTGCTGCGGCCTGAGCCTCTGCTGACAGACTTGACCTGCAAACACGAGCCAACTTCTTTGAGCTCCAGTGCACGATGGTGAGGGCCATGAGCTGATCGCTTTCGATCTCTTGGTGGTTGCAAGCAAAAATGACCATGCCTCCCTGACTGCTGCCGTCAGGGCGTACTGCCCAGCTGGCGTCGGTGTAGGCGCCAAGACATAGATCAGCCAAGCTTCCATGAGACCTGATTCGAAAGAGGTGTTGCTGAGCAGCTTCCTTGGCAAATCGTAACACCTTGTTTGCTTCCAACAAATCTTTCACACACGGTCCACTGGCTGAAGCTTGCAGCAAACTGATGGAGGCGCAAAGTTCCGGCATACACTGATTTGCCGGCCAAGCGAGTGCTCCAATCAAGGCTCTGAATTGTCGGTGCTCTGCAGCATCACAAGGGTCATTGGGATTGGACTTGCGATGCTTGTTGATGGAGATGGGCTTCACTTTGGTGACATAGTCACGAAGAGAAACACTCAGTGACATGTAATCCATGGATTGCTCCAATTGTGCACCACAAAAAACAATCTTTGAAGACTGTCCAAAATCCCATGAACCAAACTTGAAGCGCTTGGAAAGCAAATGCAAACGGCCAGCGAAAGTTGCAGGATCGAGCTCTTCGTTGTCAAAGTCAGAGGGATTGTGAACTCCCTCACCACAGCCAACAAAATCATCGACATGCAAGCCAAGAAGGCCATCAACAATGTGTGGGCGACCGTTCCAGTCAAAACAACAGAAGGGGTCGTCCTCGTTGTGGGCCAACCTCAAGCTCAAATAGACACAGCTGTCCAGCGGATGAGGTACCAAGCCAAGAGACTCCCGCAGGTAGGTGTCCGCTGTCTTGTTCCATTGGCATGGTGCCCGTACATCACCAAAGGCTGGACGCGTTGCTTTCATGACTTCCCATGGCTTGAGGCCAATCTTTCGTTCAAGTCGTCTTCGCATGTCGGCAGACGGTTGGATGTAGATCCTGGTCGAAGAGTCGATCTCATCAGCTTGCATGAAGGCACTTTTCACATCAGCAGTCCAAAGCTTCCAGGGTTTGTGGACAGCGACCAAGTAGATACAGCTTCTGCCAGTCATCGACAAGGTGGGACTTTCTCGACCAAGGTGATCTCGAGGACATCACGATGGCGAAATCCTTGGATGATGACCCGGGCATTGGCTTTCTTCCCGGTCTTGGTGGGTTTCCACCTTTGCAAGAAACGAGCAGGAATGATCTCACCGGGACCAGCTTCTGAGGCGTCCACAACACGCCAAGCATCATTGTCGAACCACACGTTGAGTGCAGTGTCCTTGGCTTCGTCGAATTGCAGCTTCTCCTCAGGTGACAAGTATTTCTCACTGAATGTTTCAGTGGCAAGTGCATCATCAGGTTGATCTACACCAGTCATGTTGCTGTAGTGCTGTAGGAATTGTGGATTCTCAGGTGACACTGGTTGTAGTCCATCAAGTTGCCGTGCCTGGTTGTAGGAGTTCAGTGCACTTGCTTGACTCACTTGCTCAAATCGTTGGTGCTGTTCATCCTTCGGAGGAGGACTGCGTGATCTCTCACGTCTCTCTGCTGTTGCTTCTGCTGCTGCCGCTGTATGTTGTCTGTTGCTCTCATGTGCTTGCTTTTCTCCCTGCTTGCCTGTTGCTGTCTCTGTTGTCGCACCTGCTTGTTGTTCTGTCGTGCTCAACTCCTGTTGTTGTTGCTGTGCTTGGTTTGCTGGAGTTGTGCTTGTGTCCGTATTGTCCATGTCATAATCATACTCCCGGATGTCCTGCACGTTTTGGTTCAAAGACTGCAAAGGAGTAGGCGAGAAAGTGGACACAGAAGTTCCCGATGCGTTAGCAGCAGGGGGATCCCCAGCCAAATCTAAAAACGAACAGGGCCCTGCACAGGGGCCAAAGCAGCACGAACTCGATCTCGAAGACAGGAAGTGTGAGCTGAGTCAGGTTGAGTCTTCAGTCGTTCTGCTCTCTCACGAGGTACTTCAGCACGAATATGCTCAGGGGCAACACGCACCAAAGAGCTTCCATGCGCCACCCAGAAAACAGATGCACGAGTTGAACCATCATCCAAAACTCGAGGCTCGATTGCGCACACAAGTGCGGGACCATGCCAGCGTTCAACGTCAAGTTTGGCAGGTGAAGGTCTCCAGTAGAACACATGGTCTCCGATATAGATCTCTGGGTGCTCAGCTCGAACTTTGGCATTGAGAGCGCGCTTGAGCAGTGTGCTGGTGTTTGCCGCATGGAAAGCTTGGGCAGCAAGGTGTCGCAAGGCTTGGTCTTCGACATGAGCTCCCTTTTCATCAGGCCTCAACTTGTATGGTTCATCGGCGAGGCCTCCATCATGTGGATTGTGTCCGAAAACTATCTGATAAGGTGAGCTTCCATGTACTGAACGAAGACGATTTCTTTGGTAACAAGCGATACGCACTGCAGTTTCCAACAAAATGTTGGGTTCTTCCTTTTGCATTTTGAGCAACTGAAGACGGCGTACAGCATGAAGTCGTTCAACTGATCCCATGCGGTTGTGAGCTTCTTTGGGTACCAGGACCAAACGGATACCATGCTGATCGAAGAAGTCCAAGTACTTCTGGCTCATGTGTGCTCCCGAAGAGTCAGTTCGAAAAACTTCCGGAGGGCCAAAGATGTTGAGCCATCGTTCTTGCAAACCTTGGATTTCTTCTTCTTCAGTTTCTCTAGCGATCACAGCATTGATCTCAAAGCGAGAGTACACATCCAAGACTGCAAGCACACGTCTCTTTTCATCATTCCACTTGATGTGAAAGGTGTCGGCTTCCAAAATCTGGTTGAAGTGGCTTGCTTGAGGCAAGGAGGAAGGTTTCTCCAGCTTCTTCATGCTGTGAGCGGCACAAACATCGCATTTGTATTCACGGGCACATTGGACGATTTCATCTTCAAAACCAGCGTCTCGAAGAGATTGTGTCAACTTCTCGCGTCCTGGGTGTCCAAGTTGCTTGTGAAGTTTTGTCACGATGTTGACTGCTTGCTTACTGTGAGTCTTGGCCAACTTCAGTTCAGCTTCATTCACTTTTCTTTTCTTTCTCTCCATTTCTTCTTCCATGAGCTCCTCGGTCACGAAGATGCGCCAAATCTCACGGCGTCGCCAGCGATTCTCCATGTCAGTGTAGATTGCACTGGCTGCCTTTTTCACAAACAATTCCTCATAGTTCTGCATGCTCTTGAGCTCTTTCGATTTGCCTTCCATAGGGGCATGAGTTCCAGGAAGACAGAGGCAAGGAAGATCAAGAGCTTCAAAGACCTCAGGGCTGTTGGTTCTTAGTCTCGTTGGTTTCTTCACTTTTCCGAGGCAATGACCTTCACGATCATAGGACTTCAGACCTGTCCGGCATCGATTGCAGATGGCATCCATGCCTTGCATGCTGTTCATGGTTTCAGTGGTCCATGACATAGCCAAGTGAGGGTGCTCCAGAACCATGCCACCATCAACTTCATCCTCCATCACATCCATGGTGTCCTTGCACAAGGTGAGATGTGTCTTTTCTTCTTCTTTCTGCAATCGGAGGATTTTCTCTCGTAGATCTTGCTTCAGCATGTTCAGTCGCTGAATATTGGACCAGCGAGTGCAAGGCGGTGCACACCAGACAAAGTGCGGCTTCTGTCGTCGGAGTAGATCGATGAACTGTTCTCGAACATGCTTTTGATTGAAGTCCCATTCTGGCAATCCAAAGGTCGAGACCTCAATGTCGGGATAGGTCTTGGCGAGGTGTGAGGAAAGTGCTCCTTGATCCACATAGACCTCAAAGAAAATCAACTTTCGTTGTTCATGAAGTTTGTTCAGCACTTTTGAAGTGATTTCACCAATGTCGTCATCACCAGTCTCCAGGAAGATTGTCTCACACTCTTCATGGATGTCCAAGTTGGTTTGCGGTTCAATTTCAAAGACACTCATGATGATCTCCGAAGTTTCTTCAACAGCTAGATTCAGGTCTTCATTTTCAGGGAGGCTGTTGTAGTCGAGGAGATTGACCAAGTAGTGTCCTTTCTTTCCACGAGGAGGTTGGAACCACTCAGATTCACCGATCTTCAAAGATCCTGAAGCAAAATCTTGTTTCACGCTCCATTCTTCCAGAACCGGTCGGGCTAAAAGAAAAGGTGTGGGTCCAGGAACAACCGAAACTCGCAAAGGCAGTTTCTGGCCTTTGACCAACACTTGCAACTCCATCTCAAGCTCGGATTGAAGAAGTTCTCCACCTCCCAAGCGAAACGCACGCTGTTGCGGGTGGACTTTGATGTTTCCAAGGAGCTGCGTGTCATACTTTTCCACCCATTTCTTCCAAGCTTCTTCACCAACCAAAGTGCGAGTGGCACCAGAGTCAATGATCGCAAAGCCAGGAGCCAGATCACTGAAGAAGATCTCATCCTTGGGAATCTCATCATATTCATCCTCCACCATCGTCACTTCATCAGAGACTTCTTTGACTCCCTGCGCTTGTACTCTGTATCTTTTGAAGCGTGGTCCATGAGCACTGTTGGAGCCAGACAAGGTGGACTTGAGGTCATTGACATTGGAGTTGGACAAAGTGCTGTTGGGCGGTCGTCTCAATCCTTGCATAGGCCTTCGCGGCACGAAGTTGGATCTCTTGCCAAAGCCTTTTCCTTTGCCTTTTCCTTTGCTTCCTTTGCTCTTTCCTTTTCCTTTGCTTTTGCCATCACCTTTTCCGCCTCCTTTGTGTGTTCCACCTCCATAGTCGGGCGCAAGAGCGACGATGGGATAGAAGCCACGAGACAATGCCAATTCTTTCATTCTTTTTCTTGACTCCAGGTACGTCACATAAGCATCATCGACCTGGTCCATGGCATTCTCAAGCTCCTCAGGAACTTCATATTCCTCAGGTTCTTCATCGCCTTCATAGAAAGCATCTTCAGACCACCACCATTCATCATCTTCGCCATCTTCATAGAACTCTTCGTCGACGTCCTCTTCGAAGAACAGGTCGTCCTTGAAGTGCTTTCCTCCGATATCTTTGTGGTTTGGCTTGTGGTCACCGCCAAAAACACGTAGAAGAGCTTTGTGAACAGCTTCATATTCAAGTTCTCCGTGACACAAAGCTTTGATCTGCAGGTGAGTCCATCGAGGAATGCCAGATCTGGTCAACAAGTGCCAACCTGCGAGAAGAGGAGGAAGATCAATCTTCACTTCTTTCAACTTTTTCAAGGCGGTGCGATGACGTACCAAGTAGGCTTGAAGTTCTTCACCTTTGTTTCGCTGGAAATTCTGAAAGAACTCTTCACACCTGAAAGGTGTTTCGACCTGCTCCTCATACTGGTAGAGGGTGTCAAGCATTCGAAGGATGGGAGCGAAAGGTGTGGTTGAAGTGGTGATGTCATTCAAGTCCAATTGCTCTGCAGCTTCCCAGGCTATATCGCGAAGAAGCGATACCACAAGGAGGGCGCCTTCGATCTCAGCTTCGCTCGAACGGCGATGGCACTGGAGGGCATACAACTCAAGTCTTCTTCTATAGCTGCGGTAGTTTGACTGACATAGTCCATCCGAAGAAGGAGCAGCTTTTGCGAGGCCACTGTCAAGACCTCGGAAGCCATTGCCATAGCCACCATTCGTAGGGCTGGAAGATCCGTTCGCTCGAGTGGGTGAAGGTGCTTCTCGGACAGGTGAAGGTGGAACAGGAACGTCAGCATGGGGTCCATCTTGTTCTCGTCTTCTTCTTTGCTGCTGACTCATGGTTCCCCTGTCCTGCCGAACACGATCTTTATGGTGAGCTCACTCTCGAAGTCAAGGTGGTCCTTGAAGAGGTGTTCAACGATGTAGGGTGCCCTTGACAAATTCAACGAGGATCGTGATGAGCTCCGCTACCAATATCAAAGCGACGTAGCTCTCGAGGTCCACGTGCTAACAACAAACGAAGGTGGTGATCGATGATCAACGCACTGCTTTTCCAAGATGTCGAGCCACTGGCGGTCTCAAGGGCCCTAAAGGCGTCGAACACATAAGATGGCCGCGGATGCGGCGAAAACACACATTGCAAATCCTGACATGTAAAATTCATGAATGAGCATTCGCACATTGACATCATCATAATGCAAATCCATTCCTTCATCAGAAAACCTCCCACTGCCCCCTGTTACGCCTGGAAACTGGCGTAGCACCGCACCGGTGACATCCTGCAGCGTTCTGGTCATCGAATCGAATCATCGAATCAATCCTCAGCTTGGACATGAAGCTCGTGCATGTTCAAGCGAAGCTGAGTATGGAGGCTAAACGTTTCACACGTGCGGACCCTCTTTGCCTCTCTGCCAGTGGGTTATAGTCATCCAGCAGCGCCTTCCGACGATGCCTCCAGTCGTTTGCAAGCCAACGAGCTGCCTTCGTTTGCACTGGGCACTGACCGCTGTGTCTACAAGGTGCTAGCGTTACTGTGAGTCTGAAAAGATTGACTTCAGTACCCTGTTCGTGCTACTGTTGCCATTTCCCGATCAACATGACAAATCATTCAAAACAGTCCCTGGATCCTTTGCTGATTTCAGCTTCTCTGACTGAGCATTCCCGCCATCAATTTGGCTAAGATTAAGATGCCATTGCCATTGCTCATCTTTTACACCGAGAGTCTCCAACGTCACAGGTGGCAAGATATTCTCTTCACTTGGAGCACCGCTGGACCTGGAGCAGGGCAAACTTCACAGCAGATTTGACTCGCTGCAAATGAACATATCCTTCCAACACCATGTGCTGCGAATTGTGTCTGGATTTGCCAGGAGCCAGGAAAAGTGAGAGGCTGTGACGAAGCCATAGATCTTAATGCACTCAAATGCGCTAAGTCATGTTAAATCGGTTAAACATAAAATAATGGAACATTTGCAAGTTAACTGGTCTATGTTGCCTCTTTTGGCCTGACTCATTGGCCAAACTCCAGTCTACCTCTGCATGATTGGCTGGCTGAATTGCATGTGCATCTTTGCTCTGGCTTTGTCTTGGCACAAAACAAACAGCCTGCAGCATGGCAGCCATGGTGCGTGGTTTTTCGCCCGGGAGTGTACCATCCCCAGGGATATAAATACGCTGCGTGGCCTTGTCACACTGGTTGTGAGTTATATACCGACTCAAAACTGGAACTGACCCCCGTGGCACGCTGCTACAGCAAAGACCCTCCTCGCTTGGAGCCCGGCATAGAGTCCTCTGAATCGTAGTCACATGTTTGGGTGGTCCTGGGTGAGAAAGAACGGTCAATTGGGCACTCGTCGACACTGTCATCCTTGCTTCTATGGATGAAGCTAAGATACAGTCACTAAAAGGAAGTTCTGGGTGTGTCCTTTTGCTCTCCAAAGCGCCCTTGTTCTTTTCTGGGACACATGGGAAGTCAGCAGCATGAAACGTCCCAACTGGCAAGCGTCGGGGCCCTGGTATAGGGCTGTGCGGATGTGCTGGCCTCAGACCGGAGAAACGGGCAAATGTCTTGATTGGATGATGTGGAATGCCACCTAAGAAAAGAACCATCCAAAATCATGCAAGCCGCTAAGGCGCAATAGATGTATGTTCTTCAGCTATTTAATATTATTTGAACACAGTGACCTCAAAGAGCATCTTACAGCCAAATCAATCTCGCACATGATAGAGTCTGTGCTACAGTCTCCCAAAAGCACCGATGAAGATCCACTCGAAAGGGCCAGTGACGATTCTAATTGCTCAAGTCTCCTATGGTCTTAAGGCATTCCATGGTGAGCACCCAATAGCACTCACTGGTAAGCCATTCGCACTCATCCACCACCCAAGTGGCTCGTCAGTCCAGTCCCGCCTGGGCCAGGGCCTCAATCTGCAGCTGCCAGGACCTGGGCGGCACTTCTGGCACGGCCTGGCGGACATGAGCGATCCGATCTGCCAAGGGATGTGAGGTGCCAAGGGATTGACGCGTCTTTTCTTTGATTCTAATTGTGATTAGTTTCTAATAGAAAACCTTGTTCCTAGTAGTAAGGCCAGGAGCCCCGTTCGTAGCGTTCTTGCTCCTAGTAGCGATGCCCTTTGCTCCTAGTAGCGGGATTGTTCCTACCCCAACCAATGACTTCTCAGTTGATTTCAGTGTCTATGATTCCCCGATGTCAAAGGTTTCCTTGGGGATGAAGCGGGATAACAGCTGGAGCGTGCTTACTTTGCCAACACTTCGAAGGAGCGAAGCGCTACGGAGCTTGCGAGCAAAGTACATGTTCCTGTTTGGCATCGGCGATGTCCAAATAGAATAGGCGTGTTATGAGGAATCATTAGACCTCACAATCCTGCAAAGGCAATACTACCTGGCACCTGTAGATGTAGGAATTCATGTCCAACTCTACTCATGGACCAACCCTGGAACAAGTCTACTGTGGTCCGGCATTCTTCGGATTGAGTGGTCGAAAGTAGTGTATGGTCAAGAAGCAGTTGGTATCTGGGCTGATTTAGAGCCACAGATCCTACAGTAAGGTGACTGGATACGTAGAAACTGGCTGGTTCAGATCTTGTTGTGTGCATGTTTAGATACACTTTCGGCACATGACAGGAGGCGAGTGCCCTCACATCCCTCCCCCAGCCTTATCGATTTGGCCTTGGAAATGTGAGCGATCAGCGCACCATGGGATATGACAAAACACAAAAAAACAACCATTAAACAGAAAAAATACAAATAAATAGCAGTTTTCCATTGACTCAAAAACAGCATGGTCTGATCGCTCCTTTGATCCAATTCGGTTCTTGTTCCTCGACACATGTGGAAGCCTTCGAGCCGTTCGTGCCGTGAAGTGTTCCTGCTACAGGTGGACATGAACTCTCCTCTCAGGAACATGGCAAATCTAACTGAGTTACTTGTCCGTTAGAGTGCAAGGAATTCTAAATGACCTTCGCATCTGTTTTTTCGTGCGTGATACAAGGGTGAGCAGGGTGATGTTGAGTTTGTGAGTGTCCCACATACAATGCCGATTGATGCCGATTGACCAGTATTCTCTACCATTCCATACATAATTACATATAACATCATATAACTATAGATAAATGCTCCTCAATCTTCCAGCAGCGGCAGCACTGGTGTTTGAACCTGTTTCCAGTGACGCATTCCTGTTTTGTTTTTTCCGAGGTGGTGTCTTATTGGTGTCACGTGAACATGCAATTCTTGCGACTTGGTGGCTGAGCATCTGCAATTCCACACCAGCACTCTCTCAGCGGGCAACCACTTCCAAGTGGCCATTCCGAGCTGCCATCATCAAGGCGGTTGCCCCGTCTTGCTTTGCAGCATTCTTGTCAGC